GTCCCTTCCATGGCACACTCTACTTCTCTGTTGAGTTCAGTAATTAGCTGCAATGGCCACATAGAACTCACAGACAACAATCTTAATTATGGGGTTTATTAGGGAAGTAACAGGTTATAATTCAGGTTCAGGAATGCTCAGGATACAGTTCTTCAATCAGGACAGCCTCTTCTCAGCTGTGTCCGCAGGCAGGTCTCTCCCTGGCCTTTGGCCCCTCAACCCCTTGGTCTAGCCTCTGCCCTGCTCGGGCAAGTATTACAAAGATCTTTTAGCTCTGCTGGTAAGTGCCTAGAGGCACCCCACTCTGCCAGTAGGGCTTGACCTGAAAGCACTCAGCTCTAGTTCCATGCATCGGCAAACCTAGCTCCACCAAGTGCCTGGAGGCACGCTACTCCACCAGCAAGCCTCCTGCCAGAAGGCACTCTGCTTCCTTGCTCCTTGGGCTGGGAGGTCCACCGTGCTGTCTCCTGTTGGTCTTTTGCAGTCACCTGTGGTCTCCTGCAGTCTCCTGCAGTTCTCCTAGTTCTGCTGCCACCATTTCTCTGCCCCTGCTTCTTGCCATCTTTGGTGTCTTCCGTGTTACAACTCCTACTCTCTCTCTCTCTCTCTCAGTGTCTCCCTTTAAGCCTAGAGGGATGGCAAAACTGACCAATCCCCTTAGTAGGGCTCCATACACCTCATTTTCATAGTCCCACCCAGTCATTTAGTAGGAGTTACAAGTCTACGGCTAGAAGGGCCATATTAAGTAATTCATTGTACTGCAGGCCACCCCTGGCTCTTGTAGCCATTGGCTGTTTCAAACTTGAAGGATTTACTTTCCCTTCCCAATCATTTTACCAATTCAAAACAGTCATTAACAATTAATCCTCCAGTAAGGCAAGAGTCCTAAGGGTGAGGTTACTCAGGTACCAGCCATTCAGGTCTTCTGCAAGTGTCCATCTGATCTGATCAGGTTCTTGAAAAATTCATCTTGTCTTTACCCTCTCTGGCCTCTGACAAAATTTAACTGAGAGAAGATTATTCCCTTGCTCTGAGCCTCACTGGGTATCAGCATAGCAAAACTTTCAAGAAACTTTAGGTTTGGCCACTGTACTCCAGTCCAGCAGTGCCTCCCCCTTAGTCTACTCTTTCACACTTGCAACTTTTACAAGTACAGTTTTTATAATCACAGTTAACACTGTTAACAATCAACACTCACAGCTGAATCAAATACTTCTATCAACATCTTCCCCCACTCTCTCTTCCCCAGATCCATCAGGAAAAGAAGAAACCATTCAATGGGGATCCGCCCTTGTCCCCCTCATTTTGAGTGTAAGCCCACTCATTAAAGCATGTAAGCCAGCCACTTCATGCCTTTATCTCTCCTCATTTTAGATAGTCAATGTTTAAATTGCCCATCCCTATCAAACCAGTACTCTGAGGAGACAAACATGTTCCCTGGTCTAAGAATCTTCTGTTCCTATTGGAACTTCAAGAATCTGCATTCATAAGCAAAGTCCAGTCCAGACCAAGTCATCAAATTGGAGCAACCTACAACAGTTCACAGTGTCAAACATCTTTCTCTTCATTCAGTCGGGTTCTGGTCAGCTCATCCCCAGTTATCCAAGCTAGGTCACAATGAGTACCAGCCATAGGCTTGGGAGTTCATAGATACCTCCCAGCACTTCAGACCAGCCAGCCCCTTCTTTCTGTCTCATCCCTAGCCTGCATGGGCTAGGTCAACGGGCATTAGCCAAAAGTTCAGGAGGCCACACAGTTCCCTGACTTCTGACCAGCCAGCCCTTTCTCTCTCTCTGTCTCTCATCCCTAGTTTCCATGGACTAGGTCGACGGGTGCCAGTGGAACATGTCCAAACTCAGTCCATCTTTTCATTGCTGCATTTTCCCCACTGCCACTCATTGAGTGGACCCAGGTGGTCATCCGAGGTGAGCGTACCAGGCTGTCTACTTGCGGGCTCCTTTTAACGTCCAGTCCTAGAAAGGGATTCTGATGGGCACTGACTTTTTCTCCTCAATGCACCCAAAGGCAAACTGCTTGCTTGCTTGAAATTCGAAAAGCAAAACAGTCATTTCTATTTTTTTTCCTGCAGATCTTCCTTCAAACGCAAATCTTCTATTTTCTCAGCAGTTCTGGGAAGTCTGCAAGTCTTTTCAAATGCAAAATCCATGAGTGTGGCTCAAGTTTTTGACCTAAGACCCCAATACTCTACACACAGAGCTACTGCATTCAAATAAACAGCTTGTGTTTCCTTACTGGCACAGTCTAGTTCCCATTTTAGCATATCTAATCAAGTACTGGCTGAAGGCAGAGTTACACATTCTCTGTTATCTATAATATGCAATATTCATTTCTAGCATAGACTTAGGTCTGCTTTATAACACTAGGTAGGAGAACCATTCACTATTCATAGTGCATTCAAATAAACACACCTTGACTATCTTCCCATTCATATGCATATGACCTTGGGCATCTCGGTGGGTAGAACTAGTAGGCCCTGGCCCCCTATCAATCATCTTGCTTATCTGGCCTAGCTTTTGCCCCAAGCCATTCCAGATGCAGCATTTCTCCCTTCAGGTGCAGCATAACATTTCTTACTTTCCCTCAGCCAGTACAGATAACAACCAAAGTAACCATCTAAGAATCCAAAGTTTCACTTTCCAAGTCCCTTCATTCTTTCTCTTACTAAGTCCCATGCTTCCATGAGTCAGGAGCCATTGCAATTATCCCACTTCTGACAACAACTGTAAAAATGGTATGGCAGAGGCGTCTGACCTTCTCTAACTTCACAAGAGGGAAGAAGAATCAAGATCAACAGCCCAAGGCTGATTCCTATGAGGCAGAGGTCAGACATACCTCCTCTCACCAGCTCTTTACCAATTCTGACACCATCTGTCCCTTCCGTGGCACACTTTACTTCTCTGCTAAGTTCAACAATTCCTTGCAATGGCCATAAAGAACTCACAGACAATAATAACAATTATAGGTTTATTAAGGAAGTAACAGGTTACAATTCAGGTTCAGGAATGCTCAGGATACAGTTCTTTGATCAGGACAGCTTCTTCGCAGCTGTGCCCACATGTAAGTCTCTCCCTGGCCCTCGGCCCCTTGGTCTCTTGGCCTCTCGGCCCCTTGGCCTGGCCTCTGTCCTGCTCAAGCAAGTGTTACAAAGCTCTTTTAGCTTTGCTGATAAGTGCCCAGAAGCACCCCACTCCACCAGTAAGCTCTGGCCTGTAGGCGCTCAGCTCTAGCTCCGTGGTTCGGCAAACCTAGCTCCACCAAGTGCCCAGAGGCTCCCTACTCTGCCAGCAAGCCTCTTGCCCGAAGGTGCTCAGCTTCCTCACTCCATGGGCTGGAAAACCCACTGTGCCATCTCCTGCCAGTCTCCTGCAGTCTCCTGTGGTCTCCTGCAGTCTCCTGCATGTCTACTGGTTCTGCTGGGACCGTGTCTCTGCCGCTGCTTTTTGCTGTCTCCTGTGTTACAGCTCTGCCTCTCTGTCTTCCATGTTACATCTCATACTCTCACTCAGTGTCTTTCTTTAAGCCTAGTAGAATGGTAAAACTGACCAATCCCCTCATTAGTATTCCATATACCTTATTTGCATAGTCCCACCCAGTCATTCAAGACTATGGCTAGAAAGACCACAGTAAGTAATCCATTGCCCCACAGCATCATTATTCATAATAGCCAAAAGAAAAAAACAAATATTCATCAACTGTTGAATAGATAAATAAAATGTGGTCTATACATACAATAGAATATTATTTAGCAATCAAAATAAATGAAGTGCTGAGATATGCCGCAACATGGATGAACCTTGGAAACATTATGCTAAGTAAAAAAAAAAAATCAATCACGAAGAACCACATATTATATGATTCCATTTATATGAAATATCTAAGCAAATCTATAAAGTACATTAATGGTTGTCCGGGAGTCCAGGAGTCCTTGGGTGGTGCAAATTATTAATCAAAAAGATTGGTGGTTTGAACTCACCCAGAAATGCCTCAGAAGAAAGGCCTTGTGATCTGCTTCCAAAAGGCCTTGGAAACCCTGTGGAGTGAAGTCCTTCTCTGCAACACATGGGGTCGCCGTAAGTTTGAGTTGACTAGATAGCAACTAGTTAGGTTTTTGTGTGGTAAGGGCGGGGGGAAGGAGATGAGAGAGGTCGAAGGTGATGCATAACAGAGACAGGGTTTCTTTTGGGGTGACAGAAATGTTCTAAAATTGATTGTGTATAGATGTACAACTCTGTGAATGTACTAAAAGCCACTGAATTTCACACTTCAAGTGGGTAAATTGTATAGTATGTGATTTATATCTCCATTAAGTTATTAAAAAGTAAAATATAAACATATTGGGATGATGGGGGGAGCAATGTAAGAGAAATAATCTTCATTTTGCATAGATGGAGGTCAGTAGATAATAACCAAAACTAGATAATCAAGAAATAGTACTAATAGCAAATATAGAGACCAAAACCAAACCAAATCTGTTGCCATCGAGTCAATTCCAATTCATAGCAACCCTACAGGACACAGTAGAACTGCCCCATAGGTTTCCAAGGAGCGGCTGGTAGATTTGAACTGCCAACCTTTTGGTTAGCAACTGAGCTCTTAACCACTGCACCACCCAGGCTCCAAATATAGAGACAAGTACCCAAAGTAAATAGCTAAAATTATTGTAAGAGAATGTTTGTATGGAATGAGAACTGGGGAGAAGTGCTACAGAAGACCTCAGTGTTTCAGTATAAGATGTATGAAAATATTTGACATTTTAAATTGTACATGTATATAACTTTGATAAAAGTAAAAAGAAACCATTTGGCCCAAACTCCTCACTTTGCAAACAAGAAAACAGAGGTCCAAGAAATTAAGTGACTTTCCCACAATGATACAACAGTTTAGCTAAACAGTTAAGATGAGATCCCCAGCTTCAAATCCTTAGCCAGCCACCTTCTATCATAATGTACTCTTAAGGATAGATTTAGAGAGCTTCTCACATAGACAGAAAATTCCCTGGGTGCACTGGAGATGTTTCCTGAGGGAGAGATCTTCTCTGAGATGTGCTCCATGGTAACAGCAGTTGGTATAATCTTCTTGGCAAGCTTGATGAGGGTATGGCCCTGGGAGCCTGGAAAAGCCCAGCACTTCCCAGGATGGACATCTGGCTGGAAAGAACACACAAAGTTAATCTCTTATCTATTTCTGTCAATCCAATCCCAAAACATTGGCCAGAGAATCTTTATTTACTCCAAGTCTATCTTGTGCCTAGTAATATGAAGGCACTGTGCACTATACATACCAAACAGGAAAACTCCCACGACACCCCTAGGCTTAGCTAAAGGACCCTCTTCTTTGTTTTTCCGGAGTACTTTATGCTTATATCAATCAGACCCCTTAATTACATAAGCATGTTTTCTTTCATTGTTCTAATTAGAGTGTAAGTGCTAGAGGGCAGCTAGTGGGTATAATGATGATGGTGGTGGTGGTGATAGTGGTGGCAGTTATCATTGTACTAATGGTGGTGGTGGAGGCAATGATGATAGTTATAATGGTGGTGGTGGTGATGATTGTAGTGATGGTGGTGGTGGAAGTGACGGTGGTAAACGTGGTAGTGGTAATGGCAGTAGTGAGGGTAGTGGTAGAGATGGTTGATAATTGTAGTGATATGATGGTGATGCCAGGGCTGGTGGTAAAGAAGAAAAATGATGTCTACTACTACTGGACATCATAAGACTGTGAAGTAATAAACTCCACACTTCCATCCTCAAAGAAATATCAAAAACAAGTAGAAACGGTCAGAATTAGGTTTGTCAGAGCTCTGGTAAAAAGTCAGAGGTCTGCAGCAACCAGACAAATGCTGAATCAAGAAAAAGGCAATGTCAACATAATGGTAGGAATGCTTTGTGGCTTTTTTTTACTGGACCATACCCCTCCCCTGACCTGGCCTAGCAGCTAGCTTGAAGTAACAGCCTATGTTTCCAATTTGGGACCCTGATCCTAGGGTCCGAAGGGAACAAACCATACCTTACGCACAAATTATTGTTTGTTGGTTTAACCGGTAGGGTGGCTATTTAAAGACTGAAGCAAAGCACGTATCTCTGTTTAGTCCATCTTGGAGGTAGCACGGGGGAAGGAGAAGAGGAGTGAACAGATCGGGGCCCAAGGGGGCAATTGAGACACACAATTAGGAACCTTAGGGCTAAGGTCAAGGAGCCAGAAAAGAGGTTCTTTGAGAAGTTGGGGCATTCATAAGTATCAGCATATACTGGGGAATTTATAAAGCCACACAGATGACCAGGGCAAGATGCATGCCTAGAAAAGACCCAAGAAAATCCTTATTTTTCACTTCAGGCTGATCTCTAGGCCCAGTGTAAGCCTGTCTAAATGTTGAAAGAGTGCCCCAGCACAGAGCCAATCTGCAAAGAATCCAAGAGGTGACTGTTTTTTGTTTCTTATGGCTTTGTTTGTTTGTTTTCTTGTTTTTATTTACTTTTCATTTTTTATATTTTCTTTTTCTTTGTTTTCTTTCTTTTCAACTTCTGATATTCAAGGAAATCTCTGTCAAACAATAGCTGAGTAGAAGCTAACAGAAGAGAGACCTCAGTGAACACATACATCAAGTAATTCAGTCTTTGCAAAAATAGTTGGGAAAGTCACTAAACAAATGGGCTCTTACAGATTTCAACAATAAAACAAATAAAAAGAAAGAAAGGAAGGAAGGAAAAAAGAGAGAATGGAGTCAGAAAACCCTGAGGAAGGGAGAGAATTCGATCTCCAGAATTACCACACTACATTAATCAAATGTACTGTTTTTCAACCAAAAATAATAAGTCATACAGAGAAACAGGGACGTATGGCCCATTCAAAGAAACAAAATAAACCAACAGAAACCATTCCCGAAAAAGCTAAGACATTGGATCTACTAGATAAAAAAGTTTTAAAACAACTGTCTTAAATACTGTCAAAGTGTTAAAGGAAAACACAGACAAAAAACTAAAGAGATATCAGGAAAGCAATCTACAAGCAAAATGAGAATATTAACAGATAGGAAATATAAAAAGAAACCAAGTAGAAATTCTGGAGCTGAAATGTACAATAACTAAAATGAAAAATTTACTAAAGGTTCTCAGTAGATCTGAGTGAGCAAAAGAATGAATCAGGGAACTTGAGCATAGAACAATTGAAATAATCCAGTCTAAGAAACAGAGAGAAAAATGAGCCTAAGGGACCTTTGGATACCACCAAGTGGACCAACATATGCATTATGGAAGCCCTAGAAGGAGAAGAGAGAGAAAGGGGTAGAAAGAATATTTGAAGAAATAATGCCTAAAAACTTCCTAAATTTGAAAAAAGACATGAAACCACATATCCAAGAATCTCAACAAACTCCAAGTAGGATAAACCCAAAGACAGCCACACGAACACACATTATACTTAAACTATTGAAAACCAAAGATAATGAGAGAATTTTAAAAGCAGCCAGAGAGAAGTAAATCATCACATACAAGGGACCTTCAGTAAGATTAAGCCCTGATTTTTCCTCAGTGGGATGATGTATTTAAAAGTACTGAAATAAAAAAAAAAAAACCGTAAACCAAAAATTCTGTATCTGGCAAAACTGTCCTTCAAAAATGAAGGTAAAAATAAGACATTCCCAGATAAACAAAAGCTAAGGGAGATCGTTACCACAAGACCTGCCCTACAAGAAATGCTACTGCAAGAACTGCTAAAGGGAGTCCTTGAGGTTGAAACAAAAGTATACTAGATAGTAACTTGAAGCTGTATAAAGACATAATGATCTCCAGTAAAGGTAATTTCATGGATAAATATAAATACCAGATTTACTGTATTTTTAGTTTATAACTCATAAACCTCCCCTCCCAAAAAAAGAACCTCATAAACTAAAAAACTAAAGCATCACGATATTATAAATTTATGTTATTGGGCACACAATGTATAAAGATGTAATTTGTGACAACAACATAAAAGGAGGGTCATAGCTGTACAGGAAAAGAATTTTTATATGCTACTGAAGGTTTTAACTTGGTATCAATTCAAACTTTATTATTACATTCAGGATATTAAGTAATCCCCATGGTAATCATGATGAAAGTATCTTAAAAAATTTTCACAAAACAAAATGATAATCGTAATTGTCCAGTACAAACAATTAACTAAACACAAAGAAGGCACTATGGGAGGAAAGAAGATACAAAAAAAGTATAAGACACATACAAAACAAATAGCAAAATGGCAGACTGTAAAATCCTTCCCAGGACATAAGTACAGTAATTGCTATACTTATGAGGGAATGTTGTTCAGCCATAGGAAGAACTGAAGTTTAATACGTGCTGTGACATGGATGAGCCTTGAAAGAATTGTGCTGGATGAAATAAGTCAGATGAGGGGGGACAAATACAGTATAATCTACTTATGTGAAGTAGCAAGAATAAGCAAATGCATAGAGACAAAAGCATATCTGTGGTTACCAGGAGCTAGGGGGAGGGTGGAATGAGAAGTTATTGTTTAAAGGGCACTGATTTTCTTTTTCAGGTGATAAAAAAGTTTTGAAGGTGGATGGTGGTGGTGGTTTCAGAATATTGTGAAGGTAATTAATGTCACTGAATTATACACTTAAAAATGGTTAGAGTGGAAAGCTTTGTGTTACACATATTGTATTACAAAATATTTTTTTTAAATTATATCTAACATTTTCTATATCTAGATTATAGACTGGAATGAGACCCACGGGTTTGCCCTTGAAGGTACTTCTAAATTTGAAACTAACCTCAGGTTTGGCATCATAGTACAGAAGTGTTCTACTATCTGTTAGTGTTCACTGCCTTTAGAATTGAACTTGGAGGTTGGGTGGTAATCTTATTTGGAAAGTTTCCATTATGATCAGACTTAATAAACAGTTTCTTGCACTAAAAGCACTTAGCACAGTATTGGCACTTAGGGGGCTTGCACTCTCAGTAAATGTTTGTTAAATGACTGATAGTTTCAATGGAAAAGGGAGTTCAAAAATCAGTTTAAAGAAAATAATATGGAATTTATCTGTTGTATTTGAAAAACAAATAATCTAGTCTCCCGTTTATAATAAATAAATAACTGTAAAATGAGAAATAATTCATGTAGTTTAATGACTATAAAAACATAATGAGATGATTTCAGATCCTGAAACAACTTTGGAGAATCTTAAATTGCCTCCATTTTAAACATCAATAATTTCATGATAAATAATAAGAATAAAATCTTAAAATACAAACAGGTTATTCTTATTTAGCTTTTACCTGAAGAATAATATCTGGAGGCATTTCATAGTTTAAGAACCCTATCCCATGCCAGTACAGTTTTGCCCTGTCATTTTTGTAACTTTCTGAAGTCCCAGCTTCAATGATGGAGGCTCCTAAAATTAGAAAATAATTTTTGAAATAAAAAAAGTACACTCAATTCAAAATACATCATTTGGATTTTAATAATGTTCTTGGAAAACTACTATTGGGTAAGTTACCAATTAGGTAAGAATGCTGTTAAGGAACTGGTTGGAAAAGTATGATTTTCTGTTTTCATTACCATAGAAATTTTATCACCTTGAGGAGGTAATGTCTGCTCTGCCTAATTCACGAAATTTCTGAAACTAGTATTATGATAAAAAAAATCAGATTCTGGAACAATTGATTTATAGACATCAATATTATCTGGATTATTTTTTTTTACCTAAAAATGTACATAACCAAACCAAATTCATTGCCTTCAAATAAATTCCGAATCATGGCTACCCCACCAGTAAAACTGCTCTCCTTAGTGTATTCAACGGTTGTAATCTTACAGAAGTAGATCACCAGTTCTTTCTTTCCTGGAGCTTCTGGGTGGATGTGAACCGCCAACCTTTTTGGTAGTAGCCAAGAACAAACAATTTGTGTCACCAGATGTTGTTGGTATTTACTTGCCGTTGAGTCAATTCCTATGTACAACAGAATGAAACAAACTACCCAGTCCTGCGCCATCCTCACGATCTTTGCTATATTTGAGTCCATTGTTGCAGCCACTGTGTCAATCCATCTCGTTGAGGGTATCCCTCTTTATTCAAAGACTCTCTACTTTACCTAGCATGATGTCCTTCTCCAGGGACTGGTCCCTCCTGATAATGTGTACAAAGTATGTAATCTAAGGAGCATACTGGCTATAATTCTTCCAAGATGATTTGTTTGTTCTTCTGGCAGTGCATGGTATATTCGATATTCTTCACCAACACCATGATTCAAATGCATCGATTCTTCTTCTGTCTTTCTTATTCATTGTCCAGCTTTCGCATGCATATGAGATCATTGAAAACACCATGGGTAAGGCACACTTTAATCCACAGACTGGCGTCTTTGCTTCTTAACACTTTAATAAAAGGTCTTTTTGCAGCAGATTTGCCCACTGCAATATGTCGTTTCATTTCTTGACTGCTGCTTCCATGGGAGAGGAGCTCTGGTGGTGCAATGGTTAAAGTGATCAGCTGCTAACCAAAAGGTCAGTGGCTCAAACCAAACAGCTGCTCAGTGGGAGAAAGATGCGGTAGTCTGCTTCCTTAAAGATTTAGTGTCTTGGAAACCCTATAGGACAGTTCTACTCTGTCCTATAGGGTCACTATGAGTAGGAATTGACTCAACAGCAGTAGGTTTGGGTTTTGGTTTGTTTCCATGGGCACTGATTGTGGATCCAAGTAAAATGAAATCTTTAACAATATTTTCTCCATTTATCATGATGTTGCTTATCACTCCATTTGTGAGGATTTTTATTTATGTTGAGGTATGATCTGTAGTGAAGGTTATAGTCTTAGATCTTCATCAATAAGTGCTTCAAGTCCTCTTCACTTTAAGCAAGCAAGGTTGTGTCATCTACATATTGCAGGTTGTTAAAGAGTCTTCCTTCAATTCCGATGCCTCGTTCTTCTTCACATACTCCAGGTTTCTGGATTATTTACTCAGCATACAGATTGAATAAGTATGGTGAAAGGATCCAACCTGACACACACCTGTCCTGATTTTAAATCAAGCAGTATCCCTCTGTTCTGTTCAAACAACTGCCTCTTGGTCTATGTACAGGTTCCTCACGAGCACATTTAAGTATTCTGGAATTCCCGTTCTCCACAATGTTATCCATAATTTTTATGATCCACAGAGCCAAATGCCTTTGCATAGTCAATAAAACACAGGTAAACAGCTTTCTGGTATTCTCTGCTTTCAGCCAAGATACACCTGACATCAGCAATGTTACCCTGTGTTCCACGTCCTCTTCTGAATCTGGCTTGAATTTCTGGCAGTTCCCTGTTGATGTACTGCAGCAACTGTTTTTGAATTATCTTCAGCAAAATTTTACTTGTGTGTGATATTAATAATATTGTTCAATAATTTCCTCATTCTGTGGGATCACCTTTCTCTGGAATGGGCACAAATATGGATCTTTTCCAGTCAATTGGCCAAGTAGCTGTCTTCCAAATGTCTTTGCATAGACGAGTGAGTGCTTCCTGTGTTGCATCTATTTGTTGAAACATCTCAGTTAGTATTCTGTCAATCACTCGAGCATTGTTTTCCACCAATGCTTTCAGTGTAGCCTGAACTTTTTCCTTCAATAGCACTGGCTCATGGTCATATGCTACCTCCTGAAATGGTTGAACGTTGACCAATTCTTTTTGGTACAGTGAGTCTGTGTATTCTTTCCATCTTCTTTTGATGCTTCCTCCTTCGTTCAATATTTTGCCTATAGAATCCTTCAATATTGCAACTGGAGGCTTGTTTGTGTTGTTAAAAAAAGGTATTTCTAATGAATAGGTTGTTGGTCTTGCAAAATTCTGTCATGCAATCTCTTCTATCACCAAGGCCATATTTTTCAACTACAGATTCTTCTTTGTTTCCAACTTCCACATTCCAATCCCCAGTAATTATCAATGCATCTTGATTGCATATTTGATCAATTTCAGACTGCAGAAGTTGGTAAAAATCTTCAATTTCTTCATCTTTGGTATTAGTGGTTGGTGTGTAAATTTGAGTAATAATGGGATTGACTGATCTTCCTTGTAGGCCTATGGATATTATCCTATCACTGACAGAGTTGTACTTCAGGATAGATCTTGAAATATTCTTCTTTATGATGAACGTGAAACTGTTCCTCTTCAATCTGTCATTCCTGGCATAGTAGACCATATTATTGTCTAATTCAAAATGGCCAATACCAGTCCATTTCAGCACACTAATGCCTACGATATCAATCTTCATGCGTTCCATTTCATTTTTGAAGAATTCCAATTTTCCTAGATTTATACTTCATACATTTCAAATTATGATTATTAATGGATGTGTGCAGCTGTTTGTTCTCATTTTGAGTCATGCCACATGAGCAAATGAAGGTCCCAAAAGCTTTATTCCATCCGTATTATTAAGGTTGACTCTACTTTGAGGGGGGACCTGGTGGTGCAGTGGTTAAGAACTTGGCTGCTAAGCAAAATGATCAGCAGTTTGAATCCTTGGAAACCCTATAGGGCAATTCTATGCTGTCCTGTAGGGTTGCTATGAGTTGGAATCGACTCAACAGCAACGGGCTTATGATATTTTGAGTGCCTTCAAACCTAAAGAGCTTATCTACTTGCACTATATTAGACAATGTTATGCTGCTATTCTTAAGGTTTTTACTGGCCAGTTTTTTTTCGAAGTAGATTGTCAAGTCCTTCTTCCTAGTCTGTCTTAGTCTGGAAGCTTCAGTGAAACCTGTCCACTATGGGTGACTCTGCTAATATTTGAAATACTGGTGGCATAGCTTCCAGCATCACAGCAACAAGCCAGCCACCGGTTAGCCAGCCACCAGAATAATTAGTTATTCCAATTATGATCAGAGAAATAGTTTGACTTGATTATTTTAAATTTATAAAGGTTTGTTTTATAGCCCAGAATGCAATTTGTCTTTGTGGAAGTTCCATGTGCACTAGCAAAGAAGGTGTATTCTGATGTTGTTGGTGGGGTGTTCTGTAAATGTCAATTAGGTCAAGCGGTTTGACAGCATTGTTTAGATTATTTATACTCTGGCTAATTTTTTTTCTTCATTTTCTATTAATAACAGAGGAGTGCTAAAGTCTCCAACAAAAATTGTGGATTGTGTATTTTTCCTTTTAGTTCTTTCAGTGTTTGCCTTATCTACTTTGAAGCTTTTGTAAGTGCAATAACTTTAGGATTCTTTTGTTTTCTTGGTGAGTTGCTCTTTTTTATCATTATGTAATGTCCTTCTGTAGCCTTGATAGTTAATATCCCATGTTTGAAGTGTACTCTGTCTGATGCTTACATAACCACTCCAGTTTTCCTTTCTTTTACTTTTAACCTATTTAAGTAATTATAATTAAAGTGGTGTCTTGTAGACAGCATATATTTTCTTTTTATCCAATCTGACCTCTTAATTGGTGTGTCTAGACCATTTACCCTTAATTCGATTACTGACTGGGCTGAATTAAATCTACCATTTTATTATTTATTTTCTCTTTATCCCTTCTATTTTTCTTTATCTGTTACTCTGTTCCTGTCTTCTTTTACATTATTTCAATATTCTTTATTTCTCTTTAAGTATTGGCTTTTGACTCTCTTCTTTTTTTTAGTGCTTGCTCTAGCGACTACCCACCACATGTCTTCACTTTGTCATACCGTGGTGGTCTGCATGTTGCTGTGATGTTAGAAGCTATGTCACTGGTATTTCAAATACAAGCAGGGTCACCCATGGTGGACAAGTTTCAGTGGAGCTTCCAGATACTGACAGACTAGGAAGAAGGACCTGGCAGTCTACTTCTGAAAAAACTGGCAAAAGAAAACCTTATGAATAGCAGCAGAGCACTGATATACTGCCAGAAGATGAGCCCCTCAGGTTGGAAGGCAGTCCTCAAAGTAGAGTCGACCTGAATGATGTGGACGGAGTCAAGCTTTTGGGACCTTCATTTGCTGATGGGGCACAACTCAAAATGAGAACAAACAGCTGCAAACATCCATTAATAATCAGAGCATGGAATGTATGAAGTATGAATCTAGGAAAATTGGAAGTTGTCAAAGATGAAATGAAATGCATGAAGATCAATATCCCAGGTTTTAGTGAGCTAAAATGGACTGGTATTGGCCATTTTGAATTAGACAATAATATGGTCTACTATGCCGGGAATGACAAACTGAAGAGGAATGGCATCACATTCATCGTCAAAAAGAGCATTTCAAGATCTATCCTGAAGTACAGTGCTGTCAGTGAGAGGATAGTATCATGCCTACAAGGAAGACCAACTAATCCCACTATTATTCAAATTTGCATATCAACAACTAACGCTAAAGATGAAAGAATTAAGGATTTTTACCAACTTCTGCAGTCTGAAATTGATCAAACATGCAATCAAGATGCACTGATAATTACTGGGGATTGGAATGCAGAAGTTGGAAACAAAGAAGAAGGATCTGTAATTGAAAAATATGGCCTTGGTGATAGAAACAACGCTGGAGATCACATGACAGAATTTTGCAAGACCAACAACTTATCCAACGCAAATACCTTTTTTCAACAACATAAACAGCAATTATACAAGCAGATCACACCAGATGGAAAACACAGGAATCAAATCGACTACTTCTGTGGAAAGAGACGATGGAAAAGCTCAATATCATCAGTCAGAACAAGGCCAGGGACAACTGCGGAACAGACCATCAATCGCTTCTATGCAAGTTTAAGTTGAAGCTGAAGAAAATTCAAACAAGTCTATGAGAAACAAAATATGACCTTGAGTATATCCCGCCTGAATTTGGAGACCATCTCAAGACTAGATTTGATGCATTGAACACTAATGACGGAAGACCAGAGGAGTCGTGGGATGACATCAAGGACATCATGCATGAAGAAAGCACAAGGTCATTAAAAAGAAAGTAAAGAAAGAAAAGACCAAAATGGATGTTGGAAGAGACTCTGAAACTTGCTCTTGAAGGTAGACTAGCTAAAGCTAATGGAAGAAATGAGGAAGTAATAGAGCTGAACAGAAGATTTCAAAGGGCAGCTTGAGAAGGGAAAGTAAAGTATTTTAATGAAATATGCAAAAAACTGGAGTTAGAAAACCAAAAGGGAATAATAAACTCAGCATTTCTCAAGCTGAAAGAACTGAAGAAAAAATTTAAGCCTCGAGTTGCAGTTTTGAAGGATTCCATGGCAAAATACTGAACAAGGTAGGAAGCATCAAAAGAAAACGGAAGAAATACACAGAGTCACTGTAACAAAAGGAATTGATCAATGTTCAAGCATTTCAGGAGGCAGAATATGAGGAAAAACTGACAGTATTAAAGGAAAAAGTCCAAGCTGCACTGAAGGCACTGGTTAAAAACAAGACTCTAAGAATTGACGGAATACTAATTGAGACGTTTCAAACAAATGGGTGTAGTGCTAGAGGAGCTCACTTGTCTATGCCAAGAAATTTGGAAGACAGTACCTGGCCAACTAACTGGAAGAGATCCATATTTGTGCCCATTCCAAAGAAGGGCAATCCAATGGAATGTGGAAATTATTGAGCAATATCATTAATATCACATGCAAGTAAAATTTTGCTGAAGATAATTCAAAAATGGTTGTAGCAGTAAACTGAAAGGTAACTGCCAGAAATTCAAGCTGGATTCAGAAGACGATGTGGAACAAGGTGTATCATAGCTGATGTCAGATGGATCTTGGCTGAAAGCAGAGAATACCAGAAAGATGTTTACCTGGGTTTTATTGACTATGCAAAGGCATTCGACTCTGGATCATATGAATTATGGATAACACTGTGAAGAATGTGAATTCCAGAACACTTAAAGGTGCTCATGAGGAACCTGTACATAGACCAATGTCACAGCGGCGACGGTTGTTGGGACGGCAGAGACAGTAACCAAACACAACTCTTACAGAGACGTGGGGCCAGGAGGGTCACTCTGAGGAGTCGACCCCAGCTTCAGTCCCAGAAGTTTATTTATAGTCAAGACAACAAGCAGTGAAGCAAATAACAGAACAATGGGCTTTGGGTGCGGGCAAGGGAGAAGGAATTCAGGTAAACAAGCCAATCAGTAAAGGGACAATAGGTTTGGGAAAACAAGTCATGGCAAGTCTCAACATGTTGGGGACAAGTCTCAACATGCTGTGCAGCATAGAGGCCTGTGGGGGCTGCAGTTGTCAATAGTGCAGCCATGTTTAAATGGCATATATCCCCACAAACCAAGAGACAGTCATTTGAACAGAACAAGAGGATACTGTGTGATTTAAAATCAGAAAATGTGTGTGTCATGGCTGTATTCTTTCACCATACTTATTCAATCTGTATGCTGAGCAAATAACCTGAGAAGTTGGACTATATGAAGAAGAACTCGGCATCAGGATTAGAGGAAGACTCATTAACAATCTGCAATATGCAAATGACACAACCTTGCTTACTTAAAGTGAAGAGGACTTGAAGCACTTACTAAAGATCTAAGACTTCAGCTTTCACTATGGATTTCACCTTAACATAAAGAGAACAAAAATCCTCACAACTGGACCAATAAGCAACATCATGATAAATGGAGAAAATACTGAAGTAGTCAAGGATTTCACCTTACTTGGATCCACAACCAACGCCTTGGAAGCAGCAGTCAAGAAATCAAAGAATGTAGTGCATTGGGCAAATCTGCTGCAAAAGACCTCTTTAAAGTGTTGAAAAGCAAGTATGTCACTTTGAGGAGAAAGGTGCACCTGACCATGATATTTTCAATTGCCTCGTACGCATGTGAAAGGCAGACAATGAATAAGGAACACCAAAGAAAAAATTGATACCTTTTAATTTTGGTGTTGATGAAAAATACTGAATATATCATGGACTGCCAGAAGAACCAACAAGTCTGTCTCGGAAGAAGTACAGTCAGAGCACTCCTTGAACATATACTTTGGCCATGTTATCAGGAGGAACCAGTCCCTGAAGAAGGACATTATGCTTGGTAAGGTAGAGGGTTATCGAAAAAGAGGAAGACCCTTAATGACATGGATTGACACAGGGGCTGCAACAATGGGCTCAAACATAGTAACAACTGTGAGGGTTGCGCAGGACGCGGCAGTGTTTCATTCTGCAGTACATAGGTTCGCTATGAGTTGGAACTGTCTCAACAGCACTTGAGAATAACAACACCTACTGACTGCAATCTACATACCTAAAGTTTCATGGTTCACTGATAGCTAATATTTTACCATTTTATGTAAAAATTAAGGTCCTTACACCTATGGAGGTCCACTTAACCTCACCTACTGACTTTTCCTTTATAGTTGCCGTAAGTATTAAATCTACATGAATTAATGTCATAGCAGGCAGTGTTATCATTATTCCTTTCAACAATCATATATATTTTAAAGAACTTGAAAATCTTGTTATATTTACTCAAATATGTATATGTTGCTCTTTATTCATTCCTGAAATTTTAAGTTTCTTTCTGCTATCAACTCCCTTAAGATTGAACAACTCCTTTTAGCAGATATGTTATCAAAGAATTCTTAGTTTTCCTTCATCTAAACTATCTTTATTTCACCTTCATTCCTGAAGGATATTTTTGCTGGATCTGGAATTCTGCATTGATATTTCTTTTCTTTCAGCATTTTAAAAATGTATATTTCTGATAAGAATTCGTTAAAGATTCTGGTAGGAAATCTGAAGTCATTTGTATAATTGTTCTATATGCAATGTGTGTGTGTGTGTTTTCTCTCTAGCTGCTTTCAAGTTTTTTTCTTCATTTTTTTATTTTAAGCAATTTAAATATGATGTGTATGGATGTATTTTTCTTTGAGTTTATCTTGTTTTGGATTTTCTGAGTTTCTTGAATCTATAAACTTGTGTTTCTCACCAAATTTGGGGTGATTTTTAGCCATTATTTCTTAAAAATATTTTTCTGCATTGATTTCTTATCGCCTTCTGAGACTGCAAGGATAAGATGTTGGGCCTTTTGATATTGTTCCACAAGTTCCTGAGGCTCTGTTCATTTTTTTTCCAATCTTTTTCCCTCTATTGTTCAGATTGGACGATTTCTGTTGATCTATCTTCAATTTCACTGATTCTTTTTTCTGTCATTGTCCTTTTGTTATTAAGTCAATTCAATAAATTCCCCAATTTTTGACTCTCCTCCACAATCTGCCTACTTTTGTATACTTTCCAAAATGCTCAGGTAATTGCAGTTTATATTTTGTCCAATTGTTTAGTTGTAATCAGCAGAAGAGATAAATTGGATTGGGCTTTCTACATCTTGGTCAACCTAGAAGCTAGGATTGTGTTTTCATGCTGAGATGTATTCAGAAAACATAACATTTTTTGCTTTTTCTTGTTCTACATGGGGTGCCCATCAGTCTACTTTAGTCTTCATGACATTTGCAAACAGAGGTTGTAAATAATTTCAGTAGAAAAGAAGAAGGCATAAAAAAGGGTGCATCAGAATGTCAACATTCAAAAAAAAAACTCTGGATTACCTTCCCCTCCACCACCCATCTTATCTCAGTGCACATGCTTCAGGGAATTCAGGTTCAGGCAAGCTCTGTTATTTTGGTGTCTCTCTCTCTAAACACACACACACATTTAAGTAAAGCATTCTGACCCAAATGCTCTAGTTTAGGAAAGATACAAATTTATTTCTCTGGTATGAATCTGACGTTATCAATTGATTAAAATTAGTGTTATTTTGTATGCTATTTTCTTTCTCCTTCCCTTTCTCTCTCTTCCTTCTTTCCTTCCACATTGCTCATTGCACATATATTATTAATAGACTATAACAGGCAGGATATTGTAGAGATTAAGGTTAATAATACACAGTATAAGCCTTTAAGAATTCATTTTAACTGAAGGATATTGAGAACATGGCTTTATTTATAGCCTTTAAGCACTGTCATTTAATCTCTAACAATGCATGTAGATTCGTTGTTATAAGTCAATTTAGTATATAATAATAAAAAATGCTATAATGTTTACTATGCTTAAAATATGTTCTGTTCTCTCCAACTTCACCGTGCTATCTCAGCTTTGTCATCCTTTTAAATTTATACTAATGAAGTTGCATAGTAATTTCTCCCTCTATGATTTGAAATCGGAAAGCAATCAACTACATTTCTATTCTATTTTTCACTATCTAGATTTACTAAGTATTTCTCCTTTCAAGTTACCAGATAGAGAAGTGTTTTCCTAATAAAGACATATAGAGAGTAGAGATAATTTTGAAGCATTGATTTTTTTTATACTGTTCTTTCCACTTTTTCCATACTCACCAGCCGACTTCAGGGCATAATCAGCCATCTGGACTTGGTCCTCTCTAAACTTTTTAAGTACATAACTTACCAAGTTTGACATTTCCTGTAAAAATTTAAAAACAATCTCTCATAACTGAGTTTTGACTATTTATCTTATCGTTTTAGACCTAAATTCCCTAGTCTGAAAAATAATAACAGCAAACACTTATCAAGTGCCCACTCTGCGCCAGGCACTGTGCAAAGTTCCTCACACAGACACATAATATAAACTTCACAGCTCTGTAGGAGAGGTCTCTCTCAGACAAATGAAGTATTTAAAGCTAAAATGTGTTCAGTGACTCCCCCAAGGGTCATACAGCAAGACTGGACCTAAGGCCCCTTCCAGAGACCTAACCACAACACCACACTGCTTACACACTGAAGTGGTAAAATGAGACTGTTCTATCTGATCTCCTGCGCCCCCTCTTTCATTAGTGTCCCATGCTTAGTAACAAAGTCTTGAATGTTTTATAATTATTTAGGAATCAAGGCAGCTTACATAAAAGTAAACAATTGCTTATATAACCAAATTATGAAACAACAAGTTTATTACTCTATGCTTTCACTTCTCAGCCCCCAAATCTCTCCCTTTCTGTGCTTACATGGCTCTTATACTGCTGTTATTAGAAATTATTCATCTATTTGGATTAATGTTGGGTTCTTAAGGACGTTCTGATTAAAAAAAAAAGTGAATATTTTGAAGGACTTACAGTATGAGTTCTAATAAGACATAGCACTTTGTCACAGTGACCTGCCAAAGTGGGGCCTGTCAAATTTCTGTGCATTTTGAAAAGTAGACTTTAAGGAAGGGAAAGAAGACAGTGATAGTAAAGATAGAAGAGAAGCAAAAAGAAGCTCATTGTTTTTATCATAATTTTGCCTAAATCTGGTGCTGACTGGACTAAATAGGTATACTTCAATGAATAAAAATCTTTTCCTATTTAAGTATTTATGTATAGGCATTCAGAGAATGCCATTTCAGAATGACATTTTTTCCCCGAAAGATAAAACAGAATCATTCATTTATTTTGGTGGGAAGTAAGCCATACTGCAATAGAAAGTCTCCTTTGTGATACAGCGTATATGAAAAAGTAGGCTTCCAGGGGCCAGCTGTAGTGAAAGGAAGGTGATGTTAGAGAAAAATTTTCAAGAAGAGGACACAAGCCAAATCTCAGTTAGCACTAGAACAATTAATCCACTCAAAAAAGTAATTGTGAAGTGACACTAGAGGGAAATACTAAAAATCGCCCACCCAAATCTCCCAACACCTTCTTACCTCATCGAGAACGCCCTTGTCCTCTTCCTCAACAGGGTCCCCATTCCAGCTATGGTTGTAGACGCCATCCTTCATTTCCCTAAGTAATGCCTTTAGAACATCTATTTGTTCTATTAAAAATAGGATTTCACGGAAATTGTTTTCCAGAGTTTGGCTTTCCCTCCTGTAAATGGAGAAACCCAATGAGAAAGGAGAAAAGGAGTAAACTTCATTCCTGTATAATCAGCTGGTATGTGGCTTCAGTACATCAGCAAAGAGAAAAACCAGTTGCCATCAAGTTGCCCCCAACTCATGGTGACCCCATGTGTGTCACAGGAGAACTGAGCTCCACAGTGTTTTCAATGGCTGATGTTTTAGAAGTAGAAGCGCCTCTAAGTGAACTTGAACTTCCAAACGTTTGGTTAGCAGCTGAGCACGTTAACCATTTGCACCACCCAGGGACTTCTCAGCAAAGAGGTGTTTTATATTGTTGAAGAAATAAATTCTGGAGTGAGTGGAGATCAAGGATGCCCGTTTTTCCAACTCATGACTGTCTCACTAAATTATGACAAATGGGCATATGACATTCACAGAAAGCTTTTTTGAGGGCGTTCCTGTGCTTGGCACTGCACTCTGCCCTGGGAGTGCGGGTCTGAATCAACCTTGCACTTCCTTCAGGGCAGCTCGGGCCTTGCTGACCTGAGGCTTGGTGACTGTGTGTGTGTGTGTGTGTGTGTGTGTGTGTGTGTGTGTGTGTGTGTGCGCGCGCGCGCGCGCACAGGCAAAACTAAATCGTTAAGCTCCTTAAAACTGGGAAACACCTTGCATTTCAACTATGATGCAGAGCCATGGTTTTCAAACTGTGCCCTAGTTTTGTGGGTGTGCCTCAGGGGAAGCTAGCCAGTGGGTAACTACATTTTACCTGTTTGAAAAAATGCTTGTGTAGGATTTTACTTTTGAAGGAAAGTTTCTGCTACTTTTAAAGTCTGAAAGTTACTGGTAGAATAGAAAATGTCAGGCTAACAGGTATTTGTTTATGCTTAAAAAAACAAGTAGTACATATATAGTATTTTTTCCAAAATTTTGAAAGAATACATGTTCAATATTTGGAAAAAGCAAAAGTACAGAAGAAATAAACACTGCTAAATTTTAGTGTTTATCCTATGCAAAAATCTAATAACAAACTACAGATTGTACTAATAATTTTGTGACCCACTACACTTGACAAATCATTAAATATATTTAAAAATTAATTTAATGGCCTCATAATACTCCACTACATGGATATACTCTAATGCATTTAACCAATGGCCAATTTTTATCATCTAGGTTGTTTGCAATTTTCTTGGTTATAAATAATATTGAAAGCACATACCAGTATAGATATTTTAAGGGACGATCCACAGAAAGAGAAATGTTATATTAAAGGCTAAGTAATGTCCTAAAGTAATAAAAATGCTATTGCTTTGTTTTAAACATGCATGCTTACTATAAGGAAAAAAGAAAAAAGATATTCAGAAAAGTATAAGAAAGAAAAGTCACCCAAAATTTCACTCCCAGAGGACAGCCCCGTAAAACCAAATGAGACTAACAAGGTACAGGAGTCCAGTGACAAGGGCCAGCAGGCAGAAGGGGACAAGGAAGCTGGTGATAGGGAACCCAAGGTTGAGTAAGGATATTGTTGATGTGTTGTGAGATTGTTAACCATTGTCATAGGGCGACATTTGTAGTAACTGTTAAATGAGAAACTATTTTGTTCTGTAAGCCTTCATCTTAAGTGAGAATAACAGCACAATTGGAAGAGCGTAGTCAATGTCACTGAACTGTGCATGTAGAAATTTTTGAAATGGTGTATCTTTGGCTATGTGTATTTTCACTAAAAAAAAAGGTAGAGAAGTTAGAGGGTTGATATGTTGTGGGGTTGTTAACCAATGTCATAAAACAACATGTGTACTATTGTTTCATGAGAAACTATTTGTTCTGTAAGCCTTCACCTGAAGTACAATAAAAATAAATAAATAAATAAATTGACTAAAAAAAAAAAAAATTTCACTCCCAGAAATAACCTTTGTTAACAGTTGGTGACATCATGTCTGGCATCCCTCTATGCATCTATGCAGCTGGGAAAAAAAGGAGTAAGGGAAAGAGGGAGGGAAGAAGGATGGGCATTAAAGAAATAAAGGATCAGTGGCAGGTCAATCTGTACACACTATATTTAATATTAAAATATCATGTTTATTGTTATTTGAATTTATCAGAAGGAAATAAGAAAAACTCCCCTCCCTCACTTATGCATATACATTAGTTTAAAAAAGATTTGCCTTTTTATGGGGACAAGAGAAAAAGCAAGAAAAACATGCTCTTGGATGGCATGAAAAGTATAATATCATAGAGAAATCATCTTTAATTCTATAAAACTATAAAGACATTTCAGTATTCAAAACCACACCAGAAACCCCCCGCATATCAGGAAATCTCACTCACTTTAGAAGTTCCAGTTGCTCTTTTGGTATACGAAGTCTGGCCTGAAAAAAATAAATAAGTAAAATAAAATAAATAAATAAATCATTCTGAATCCTGCCTATTCAAGTGGAGTTATTTTTCTTATTTAGAAGGGGGAAAGAAATTACACTTCTACGTCAGATGCACACTGTGTCAGGGCTGGGACACATGTCATCTTATAAGTAAGATACTAGCATCTTTTCTGGCCTTAACTGTAAATAAATTTGGAGGAGATGAGGTAACATCAAATCTATTTAATAACGAGTAATATTCTACTGGAGTTCTGTTTACTGTTCCTCACAATTGCGAAATGCTAAGCTAAACACCGTCCTAGGACCTTGTAATGGGAGAGAGGGATTCTCTGGCCAGGAGGAAGGAAGGATGAGGCGGATCTGCAGGCATGAGACACACAGGGCGGCCCTGGGGGCCAGGCAGCGGCTGCGCGATGTGCGATGAAGAGCGCTGCGCGGACCGGAGGAGCTGGACTGCGACTTGGCGGGCAAACTGAGCCCTTTAGGCACGTTCCTGTGAACAGTGAGGAAGCATCCGGTTCTGAAATAAGTGTTGTGATTAATCTGGGATAAGACTAGCAATAACAATCAGAAGACTCGCTGATATTTACCCAATGCCTACAAGATAGTCGGCATGGACTACGGCATGTTTGAACGGCGGTGCCTGAGCCAAAACCAGGGGGAAATGAAGTGTCCTTGATGCACACCCTGAGTGTGTGACCACGGGCACGCCGCTTTCTTCTCCAGGAGAGGCCTTGCCTCCCAGCCCCGGCTAAAACAAGCTCAGGCAGCGGCCTGGCCTGCATCTGTGCCTCCTCAGCTCGTCCTGCTGTGTCTGTGCCAGGCTCTTCCACAAACGACCACGGCTAGGTGTGCACATTTTAGACTCAACACACACATGCACACCAGCACACACACATACATGCACGCAGCCATACATGCAACACAGGCATGCTGACACAAGTGCACACAGACATACATATGCATGCAGTCATACATGCACACATGCACAAGCCCTGCACACACACTTGTGTATACACACACACACATGCAAACATGCTTACATACATGCATACATGCACACAGCACCCATCCCACTAGTGGACACTTGGAGAAGGTCAATAATATTACCTGATGTGTACAGCCAGAATAAATGGGAGCAAATGACAGAATCCTGGGGGACACCAACAATTTAAGGGTGCAGGAACCAAAAATCAAGTGGACAGGCTGGTTGGACAGGGAAGAGCATAAGGGGTGATCACCTTGGAAGAGCATTCCAGGAGAAAACCGAGTGGTCGGTAGCGCACACTGAGGAATTCACCTGTGATGTCCTTTCTTTACCTGTCTGGAGCTTACCTTCCAACGCATTTTACTGAAAGTGGTCAGTGATAGGTTAGGCACGTGTTATCTCTGACTGCATTTCAAGGCATAGATCAGTGGAGGGATAATAAAGTGAAAAACTGAATCTGACTCAAGCAACACATTCACTCAGGCTTAAATTATTATTTTAATATCTAGGAGGATTCTGGTAGCATTTTCTGGAATCCTGTCCCATGCCCATATTCCCCAGCCAGAATTGGAAGAAGACACTCAGAAAATTGCAAACCACTTTTATTTCGCTACAAAGCTCTCACTCCAGCTACCCAATAAAGCAAAACATAGACATCAAAGTGACTATTTATTTTCTGGGGCTGCTATAACAAATTATCACAAACTAGGAAGCTTGAAACAACAGAAATTCATTTTCTCACAGTTCTGGAGGCGAGAACTCCAGAACCAAGGTGTCAGCAGGGCTGTGCGCCCTCTGAAGGCTCTAGAGGAGAATCCTTCATTGCCTCTTCAGTTTCTGGGTGGTGCCAGGCATTCCTTGGCTTGTGGCTGCATCACTCCAATTTCTGTCTCTGTCTTCACATGCCTGTCTTCCCTCTGTCTGTGTCTTCTCTTCTTCTGTATTTTACAAGGACACTTGTTAGATCTGCATCCCACCCTGATGATCTAGGATTTTCTGATCTCAAGATCTTTAAATTAATTATATCTGTGTGATGGTTAAGCTTGTGTGTCAACTTGGCTGGGCCATGATTCTCAGTGTTTTAATGTAATCACTCCCATGATTGAATATACTGTGAGTAGCCAATCAGATGAAAGGGAGGCTCCTTGGAAGTGTGGCCCACATCTGTATATAAGCAGACGTTCTGGCTTTTTGCTCTTTCTTGATCCTGTGGCTGCTTCCTGTCATCTCATCTCCCGTTCTTGGGACTTGAGCTGCCAGCTTATCTGCTGAACCTGGGATTCGTCGATCTGCACAGCCTGTGAGCAGGAGCCCTGCTCTCCGACCTGCCGATCTTGGGCTTGCCAGCTTCTGCGGCTGTGTGACTTGGGAAAGGCCTCTACCCTGATCCACAGACTTGGGACGTTCTAGCCTCTACAATCACATGAGCTGTTTCCTTGATATAATCTCTCTACATATATATATTTATACACTTTACTGGTTTTGCTTCTCTGGAGAACCCAGCCTAAGACAATCTGCAAAGACACTTTTTCCAAAAAACGTCACATTCACAGATTCTGGGAATTAGAACATGGGCATATCTTTTTGGGAGCCACCATCCAACACATGACAGTGTCCATCGATATGTTATCTGAGAAATAACTCCCACCTTTCTCCACTGATTAATCTGCTTTTCTGTTCCAAAGAATCTGACTGGTAGTTTGCTTTGCCAAAAATAGTGCAACCCACAGAGGGACTTTTTATAAATGATGCCGTGTGACATGTGATAATGGCCAAATGGAGGACAGCTTGACACGTAGAAAAATTTACATTGCATTTTCTTTTCTGCTAAGCAATTTTATTTCTTGTAAACTTCCCTCAGTATTTTTATTTTGATGGGAACTTGGCTTTGGGAGCTTATTATTGGGTAGAGGAGATTCTCATTTCTAGTTTTTCAGTTTCTGTCTGAGTAAGTTCCTTGTCAGTAGGGACAGTGCTTTCAATTTGTTTCTCTTTTCTGTTCTAGCCTTAAAAGAACATACAGAAAATAGTCCTTAATTAATTTGCTGATAAATGAATTTGAGAGCTCCTTGAAAATGAAAATGTATTTTCTGGAATTTTAAAAACTTTTTTATTTTACCTCATTCCCAAAAGGATTTCAGGTGGTTTCCACTATTGGAGCATAGAGAGTATAACAATGCATAGGACAAAAAAAAAGTGAAGCAATGAAAGTGAAGAGAAAATAAGGATTGGAGAAGTAGGATAACACAAGAAGGATCAGGTTGGAACAAATGCATGACTTCAGTTCCTGTAAGTTATTAGCAGAGGACTGTAAATCTTTTTCTTGAGCATCATAGCAACCAAACTGTAGGGGAGGAGGGAATGGGATGACCAAAATTCACAGCATCCACAGTGTTAACAAAAAAATCAAAGATGCCAAAAAGGCCACTTTGTGCACCCTCTTGGTCGCTTCCATAGTCTTCCTCATGTAAGAACAGCATTTGGTTTGCTAGGCACCTTCATAGAGCATCACTCATGTAGGCTGATGGCCTCACATCCCTCATGTAGACTGATGGTTTCACATCCCTCTTGTAGGCTGATGACCTCCCATCCCTCATGTAGGCTGATGGCCTCCCATCCCTCATGTAGGCTGATGGCCTCCCATCCCTCATGTAGGCTGATGGCCTCACACCCTTCACGTAGGCTGATGGCCTCACATCCCTCACGTAGGCTGATGGCCTCACATCCCTCACGTAGGCTGATGGCCTTAGAGAAAATGCCTAAATCAGGCAGAGCTTCATGCAATGTCAGAATATCCAGAACATTTAATAGACGGCAACAGCCTCCAGGAATATTATCTTCTGCAATAAAGCTCTTGATAAAGTGCCTACTACCCAATCCTAAAGATGTCTGTTAATAGAGGATGTATTTCCATTTGCAGTCAATTAAGCAGAGTTAGAATTGACAGCCTCCCAAGAAATTAAGGAGTCTATAAAAGCAAGCAAATAAAAGCATAGCCATGAGAAGAGCTCAAACATACCAAAAATCATGAAGATGAGTGGGCAATGTTGCATTCTGTTATACATAAGGTCACTATGAATCGCAGCCAAATCGACAGCAACAACAATGGGAAGAGCCATAGGTTTTTTGTTTTTTGTTTTCCAGATATCTAAGAACATGGCTGTTGTAATTTTAGCTGAGACAAATTCAGTGCAAGTGTTAACAATATCCTATGTGGCCATTAATTTTTTTTTCTCAACCAAACGTCCATAAAACATCCAATTTTACACTACATAAATTCCAGGTGAATTCTAGATATAATGGTTGCAGACTGTACCCCTGGTTAAATAATCAAGCTTACTACTTAATATAGGGTTTTTTTTTTTTTTTTTTTTAAGATATAAAGCAATTGTGTTGGAGCAATTAATTTGAATTGATTTTAAGCTCCTCGTTCTGACAGTGATTATGTAGTCCTGAGGTTATCTAGCATATGACAATAAAATCTTCGTCACTATACAGCCAGTAAACTGACGCAGGCCAGGGTCAATTAATGGGTTTGAATTTCAGCTTCAGAATTTACAGCTGGACTGCCACAGGCCACTTAATTGCTCAGTTTCCTAATCTGTAAAAGGGTGGCACAATTGGTTAAGTACTCAACTACTAACCAACAGTTCGACTGTTCAAACCTACCCAGAGGCACCTCAGAATAAAGGCCTGGAGATCTACTTCTGAAAAATCAGCCATTGAAAACCCTATGGAGCGCAATTCTACTCTGCAACACACAAGGATGCTATGAGTCAGAATCGACTGGATGGCAACTGGTTTTTTTTGTTTGTTTGTTTGTTTGTTTTAATGGATTTAGTCATATAAAAGGATCACTGTGAAGGTTAAGTGAAATATGTATTTAATGTGCTTGGAGTCACTTCTGATGCATCGATAATATGATCATCCTGTTCTCCCTTAGGGGAAGATGGGGGAGGGAAATGTATGCAGCACTTTGAAAAGCAGTATCAATTCATTAAGACCCAATATAGGAAGAAGAAAAGTGACCTAAGAATTGTAATAGACTTTGTTTATTCTTGTCATAGGAGCTTATTCTAAGTAAATAACTGAGGCTATGTGAAAAGATGTAGCAGCAAGGATACTTATGTTTACAATATTAAAAGACTGGAAACAATTTAATTGTTCAGAAATAAGTATTTGTTGAATATACTAGTCAATGGAATATCAGTCTGCCATAAAATGCTGCTATAAAATAACATTTACAGACAAGGGAAGATGTTTAAAATCTATTACTAAACGAGTAAGAACAAACCACAAACAGCCTCTGTGGCATGTAGCTTGCAATCTATCAGGAGCTCACACAGACGTAAGCCAGTCTCAAGTAGTTGGTAGCAGAGCTCTCCTCTGCAGGAAGAACAGTGTTACCCTGGCTGAAATGAAATGACCACAGCTAAACCTCATCCTTTAGACTTAGAAGCATAGCCTTAGATATTTTTAAGGAAAAGCATTCTTTAGTGTGCTAACTGGTCCAAAATTGGGAGGCGACGGGGAAGGATGACTTTTGAATAAGGAGAGACAATGCTCTCAGCTCACTCATTCATTCATATCAATATTCACTGAGCCCCCAGTACCTGGACGCTGTTTTACGTTCTAAACAGGTGAGATGGGCAACCGCCAAACAGGGCTATACTAGACATTCTGACTTCCTCATTCCAGATCCAGGAGAAACTGCGAGAGTGAGAAATAAGAGGATAGGGGCAAATACCGGACAGAACCAGTCTGAGGTGCCCTCACAGGCACAGAACAACATACGCATGCGCAAAGTACCTCAACTTGTCCTCTTGGTGACTTATCACAGAGATGTCTTTGACATTGGGGTGGGGGGAAGGGCAGAGCAGAACTAAGCCATCATTTTCTCTTTACTATAGCCATTTTGTGAACCATGAACCCCCGTGCGGCCGCGCCAAACCAATGACGACAATATCACCATGGAAGCTGTCCGCCAATAGACCACGTTCCTGAACAACCCCTGAAGAGGAGCCCCTACTCTGTTTTCCTCCCCATATAAACACCTGTGCCTGCCATTTGGGGAGCCATCTTGGTGACACAGGTCCCGGTGTGCGCCTTTGCTTGGCCAATCAAATAAAGCTTTCTTCTTTCGCTTTCACCTGACCCGTGTCTCAGTGTCACGGCTGAGCGAGACCTGGAGGTCTGGTAACACGGGCTTCCTGCTTTTTACATTTTAGTGGGGGACAAGGGCGAGAAGACAGCTGATAAGTCAATGGAGAAGTGACTAAGATAAAGTAGAGGATGTTGTCTGGGTAGCCTGGGTGGTCACAGAAGCCCTCTCTGAGAAGGTGACCCTTGAGCTGGGATGGAATGTCAAAAAGGAACCAAACCAGAAAAGATTTGGTACAGAATATTGTAGGCAAAGGGGGCACCCAGGCAGGATACAAAGTCTGGCAGAACCTGCCAATAATTTTTGAGAGTGTATCAGATGGCAGTCATTGGAGTCCACCGTTATTCACCCTGGGTTCTCATCTCTTTTTCTGATGATGACCTAACCCATCTGGCCCCAGCTCCCATGGGCCTGGATCCTCATCTTGGACTGAGCACCCTGTGGTGTAGGAGTTCTCTCAGGCTGACCCCTGTGTTGTCACTGCACAGCTATCCTTTTGTCCAGGACCTGGTGCTCACAGATTTTCAGTATATACAGAGCAAGCAACAGCTTTGAGACCCACCCACAAGAGATTGGGAGTGACTCTAGGCGTCAATCTATGGGTTCCTCACTGGACTGGAATGCTGGGAGGGATTGGACCGTCGCTATCTTCCCTCCAAGAACTCCAGGGAGCAAGACATGTTGGAAGGAGCCTGATGAGCTAGGAAGAACGGATCTCAGAGGCCTTGTGGGAAAGGGGCAAGAGTTATATGTCAGATTCAAGGCTAGTGACTGGAGTGGATTCACTGTGCTGAAAATCAGTACACTGTACAGGTAGGTCTAGTGGTCTGTCCCTTCTTCCATGGAGCAGCAGGTGACCTGGACACAGTTCCTGTCACCCCCTCCTCTCTCTAGCTTTTGGAAGTCAGAGTGTAGAATGGACAAGTAAGTACAGGCTAGTATGCATGGAAACAGAGGTCGGGGTGGAGGTAGACCAGAAAGGCAACTTCTACTGCCCTGCCTCAGTCTAAACCCATCTAGACCTAACGAGCTTCAGGGCAAAGGAAGTACCCAGAATGTAGGCAGAAGTTAACAATAAAGTGTTTGCCACCCTTCCTTGTGCTGGCACTGCACGTGGGAAGTCTGCAGGGAACCAGAGGGGTGCAAAGGGTTAATGCTCTCAGATGATAACCAAAGAGTTGGCAGTTTGGGTCCACACAGAGACTCTTGGGAAAAAAGGCCTAGTGATCTACTTCTGAAAATCAGCCATTGAAAACCCTGTAGAGCACAGTTCTAATCTGACACTTATGGGGTCACCATGAGTTCGGCTGACTCAACAGCAACTGGTTTGGTTTATTGATTTAGCCATAAAATCATATTATTTCTAGTTGATATCCCCATGCAAAACAAAGCTAACATCGTGCAAGTTGATCTAGCAATGTAGAGTATTAATTTTTAAATGAGTGACATACAAAATGATTTAACAAAACACATCACCTGGTAACTATAAAGCCTTGAGCCATAATCTGCAATTACAGCATATAATTGTCCGGATTTCTGAGGAACATCTTTGTCTTTAACCCACTCATGATTTCGAAGTCCTGTAAAAGACAAGACCAACTCTGAGTTAAAGTTTATCTGTCATCTGGAAACATATTTCTAATATATTTTATATGTATTTAATTTTTCTAAGCATGGAGGTTATATACAATCTTAAAAAACAAAACACAACATCAGAGCCCTGTTTAATTCCACTGAAATAATATCCACATCAGTGGTGTCTCAAGCAGTCTGGCACATTGAATGGCAAGTTGGCGAGCTTACACCTGGGAAATGCAAAGGATGAGTTTGCATCCATTGTAAATATATACTTATTTCAATCTTAAAAGATGTCAAGGGAATTTGGAGTGTAATTTCTAAAATGAGTAAAATCCCTGCACAGGTCTCTGGTAGTGCAGGGAGGATGTTTCAGCTGAGAGAGTGAGGCCAGGCAGCAGGCAAGTGGGAATGGCCAATGGTAACAGAATTTGAAGACCAGACAGCCAGGATGCAGAGAGGAGCTGAGCCGTGTGCAGTTCTTGTTAGAAACCACAATATCCAGAGGTTCTCGTGGCCCACTTAGACCATAGAGGTACTCCTGGTACATCCAGATGCTGCTAGTGGACTGAGGCCCACTGACCCCAGGCAGGCACAGAGTTGGGATAACCAGTGATGCCAGTGTACACTTGCCATCATAAAGAAATACCACCCCGCATGCTGCCATTTTATAAAATACTATTTCATAGCAATTACTGGGTTGCAGTCTTGATTTTAATGGAAACTTTTTTGCTTAAAATTGTTAGTATATTAAAGGGCAATTGTCCAGTGTACTAAGGGCTTGTGATTTGTGATACTGAAAAACTCCAAACTGCGTGTTCAGCAGTAATTTCTTCAGGAACCGTGTGATGAGAAAGAGCCTTCAGTTCTCAGTTTACCAAAGCTGAGTGACCCACTCAGAAAAGGTGACCTGTGTGAAATGTTTGCTAGAACAATATTAAGGATTCTTAACTCTAAAACAACTTTTGTGATCCTAAATTACTATTTTAATAGAAAAAAAGCAGTTTCTAAATTTTCTGTAAAGAAGTCTGTATTACTTTTAAAATCGTAAGTAAAAGACAAAAAGAGAAAAAAAAAAGTATGCTTCAAGACCGTGCAGGTAACTTCCAGCACCTTCTGTGGTATTTATTTACAAATGTGAGCCATTCCATTGAGATCTTTCTCATCACCCAAAAATATCCATTGATTATGGCTTTAAAGATGATTATTTAGTAAGACTTACCTACAAGAAGAAAAATCAATATAAACATCATGCTTATGAAAATCTTCCATGATCGGATTACCCTAAAAAGAGTTTAAAAAAAAATTACCAATGCAATATACACTGTTAACCTTAAATATGGACTTCAAACTAACCACTACAACCAAATCAATAAACTTATTGGTTATTCTAGGTTGAGTCTGTGAATTAGTTAAATTCCTATCCGAGCATCCTTCATTCTTTGAAATTGAGAGAAAATAGTTTTCAGGATGATGTGTGTGTATGTGTGTGTAGTCTCTCCTACTCATCTACACAAACATAACTGACCTGCTGTTTATGCCTATTTCTATGTCTTTAAATGCTTAAAAGAAGAAAACTAAGGAGATTGTCCTAGAGGTCTGGGATGGAGTGTGAGTTAAAAAAAAAAAGAAAGAAAAACAATCTGATTTTGTAGAAATTAGATATTAAGCTAAAGAACTATGACAATAACTATCTGATAGAATTCTTTGAAATAGTCATTATCTTCTCCCCTACTTTTTACTGAAGTACAACATACGTGCAGAAAAACGCACAAATCGTAATTGTACAGTTCCATGAATCTTCGCAGAATGAACATATCAATGTAATCTGGCCCAGAAGAAGACAAGGCGCATCCTCAGTCCATCAGAAGCCCCTCTCATGCCCCCATCATACCCTACACCTTCCACCCCCTGCAGGTCACTGTTCTTCTGAGCTTCATCCCATCCATTAGACTTGCTGTTTTGAACGGTATATAATACATGCGTCCGCTCCATCTGTAGCTTCTTCCACTTAGCATATTTGTGCAAGTCACTCGTGCTGCTGTGTGTGGTTGTAGTTCATTCATTCTTGTACTGTATAGTATTCCAGTGTAGGAATACACCACATGGGCATCCATCCTAGTGTTGATGGGCATTTGGGTATTTTCCAGTTTGGGGCTATGATAAACAATGCTGTTATAAATGTTCTTATATACAATGCTGCTATGAACAATCTTATACATTGTGGCTTTTGATGGATATGTGTATATATTTCATTTAGATATATTCCCAGGAGAAAAATTGCTGGACCATAGGGTATAAGTATGTTCAGCTTCGGTACATCTACCAAACAGTTCTCCAAAGTGGTTGTAGTTATAACCTTTTCACACCCAACCTTTTCACAAGCCCAAAGTAGGACAGGGAGAAAAGTCTCTAACAGTTGATCAAGCTAAGGCAGAAGACTGGGAGATTCTGCACACAAAGCATTCCAACTTGGCAAACTAAAAATGTCTACTTGAAACATATGGAACATCAGATTAAGATGGATTATTCATTAACACAAAACAAAACTTGACGTGGCAGGAGAAACACTGGATTACATGTGAGGAGGGGTGATCTGGCCCTGAGTTCAGCATGCCACCTCAGCAATTTGGACTTCAGTTTTTCACCTGTTGGTTCTGATACTGTTGAATTTTACCTAAACCTTATGATCCTGGAAAACAGTGATGGTTAAAGAAATCCCACACTTTGTGTTGATGGTTAAAGAAATCCCACACTTCATATTCAATACTGTAAATAACTCCTCTTTCCATATGGGCTTAGATAATACTCACAGATGCTCCCTTATTTACCTATAAGAAAGTCAAATACATCACTCAAAATTCCCATTCCTTGCCTCATAAATGAGTAGCTTGAACTGCTTGTCCCCATTAGTCAATCAGAAAGAAAGTACTTGTTGACCAAACTCTGGTTAAGCTTCTTTCCTTCCCCCAAATCCCTGAATTTTCACCTACCCTAAGCCTGAGCCAACATGTTGCTGTTGTCAGTTGCCATGGAAGCAGCTCTGACTCATGGAAACCCCGTGTTTAATAGAACGAAAAGTTGTCCAGCCCTGCGCCATCGTCATGATCGTTGGTATATTTGAGTTCGTTGTTGTGGCTATTGTGTCAATCCATTTCATTAATGGTTTCCTTCAATTTTGCTGACCCTCTACTTTTCCAAACATGATGTCCTTTTCTTGTTGTATTTCTTGTAAGACTTATTTGTTTGTTCTTTGTCAGTCTATGTTGTATTCAATTTTCTTCACCAATGCCACAGTTCAAATGCATCCGTTTTTCTTCTCTCTTCCTTTTTCATTATCCAACTTTCACATGCCTATGAGGCGGTTGAAAAGACCATGGCTTGGGTCAGATGCACCTTAGTCATCAAAGTAACATCATTGTGTTTTAATACTTTAATGAGGTTTTTTGCAGCAGATTTGCCCAATGCAATATGGCATTTGATTTTTTGACATTTCTGGACATTGATTGTGACTCAAGTAGAATAGAATTGCTGATAACGATTCTAGTCAACTTATTACCCATCTTGACAGACCCTTCCTGGAGAATAGGCTAACTTCAGCATAAAATATTCTCATTTACTATCCAATGATATCACCTTTTCAACCTACTTCCCCACAGTTAGTTTTTTTTGTTTTTTTTTTATATATATAGCCTTGTTTACTCTTGGCCTCTATAAAATAAAAATGCTTTTTCCCAAAATCATTTGCAGATCTTATGGTCAGAGTGTTCTCCTATTACAATAGGCCCCCCTCCCTGTAATAATGGTCCCCTCCTCCCTTTTTTTTTGAAAGCTTCTTCTTATCAAAGTCTAGATTTGTTTTTTAACATTTCTGAACTAGTCTCCATCATTTAAAGGCACAATTTCCTGCTAGGTCTAGGAAAAATGGCTATGAAAGTGACTTGGTGTCTGGAAGCTTCTTACCAAAAAAGCCAAACCCATTGCCGCCAAGTCGATTCTGACTCATGGCGACCCCATGTGTTACAGGGTAGAACTGTGCTCCATAAAGAAGCATATCACCAGGCCTTTGCTCTGTGGCACCACTGGGTAGGTTCAAGCCAACAACCTTAGGTTACTAATGAAGCTCAAACCACTTTCCCCACTCAGGGACCTGGAAGCTGCTTAATTTATATTTATTGTTAGGAGCCTCAAATTAGCCCCAATAAACAATGAAACTAAATGATGCTTTGGCCTGGATTCAAACCCTGGTCTCCTGCATCAAAGGTGAGAATTCTACCACTGAACCACCATTGCCCTCTAAGACTAAGATAAATTAAGAAGAAAGGCCTGGAGATCTACTTCCAAAACTAAGCCAAGGAAAAGCCTATGGATCATAATGGTCCAGTCTGCAATCAATCATGGGGATGCGCAGGACCAGGTACTGTTTCCTTCCATTGAGCATGTGGTCGCCTTGAGTCAGGGGTGACTTGATGGCAGCTAACAACAGTTTATATTTAGATTCGTATATTTCCTCAAATTTTGCTCTAGACTACCTCCTTCTTTGAAAATGTGTGCAAATATCAATAAACAGTTTACCTATATTAATTTGTTTAAGTTAGTTGACCAAGTGATGTACAAATTTACTCTTGGTTATCTGCTTTTGAGTTACAGTGTCAGGTGGGCAGTGTATCACCACAGTTCTACAGGACAGACACCAGGGTAGACCAGATGTAGAGCAAGCCACCCAGTTTCCCCCAGTAGAGAATCTCTAAGTAGCTTATTCCCTATTTACTAAAGATTAATTATTTTTTTTACTCAAATTTCTGGCTGCCAGGCTCAATTTTGCAAAGTTGTACAACTGCTACTACACCTTTGCCCAGCCTGTGGGATTCTGCCATTCGGGGGAGCATGCCTTGTTATGACTGGTCATGGTTTTCAAATGCTTCTCTTGGACTTTTAAAATTGTAGCATTCCTTTTATTTTTATTCATAGTTCTGTTTCCTTGTGCAAGTGCTTCTTTTCTGCTATTGGAATGGCGATCATGTTACATTTCAGTTAGGATTTCTCAACAGGTAGTGTAAGTGGGAGAAGTAAACAGGCTTTGGAGCTTTGGCCCCACCCAAGTGGCGGCCTTCCCCGCTGCAGTCTTAGTTGTCTTTGTCTTCTTCTCCTTCTTCTTAATTTTGTGATTGTGGTAAAAGCATACAATAAACAATTGCAAACTCACCATTTTTTAGATATACAATTCAGTGACATTGATTACATTCATCATGTTGTGCAACCATCACTGATAACCATTTCTAAATTATTCCACTACCATTAACAGAAACTCAGTACCCTAAGCTAAGACTCCTCCTTTCCTCCTCCCTTCCACCCCTGGTAACCACTAATATACTTTGGTCTCTATACATTTACCTATTTTAGGTATTTCATGTAAGCAGAATCATACGATATTTATCCTTTTGTGACTGACTTATTTCACTCAGCATAATGTTTTCAAGGTTCATCTGTGTGATAGCATGTATCAGGACTTCATTTCTCTTACTGGCTGAGTAGTATTCATTGTATGGATGTACCACATTTTGTTTATTCATTCGTCTGTGGATGGACATTTCAGTTGCTCCCACATTTTGTCTATTGTGAAAAGTCCTGCAATGAATATTGGTGTGCAGGTTTCTGTCTGTGTTCCTGCTTTCCATTTTTTTTGGTGTGTACCTTGGATTGGGATTGCTGACTCATATGCTTACTGTCTTCTTAAAAGTTATATCTATATTTATTTTAATTGTTATTGTTGTTAGTTACCAAAGTTGATTCTGACTCATGGCAACCCAACGTGTACAGAAGAGAACTGCTCTATTGGGTTTTCAAGACTGTGACCTTTCAGAAGCAGATCACCAGGCCTGTCTTCCAAGTCACACCTAGGTGGGTTTGAATCATCAACCTTTCGGTCAGTAGCCCAGCACTTAATAGTTTGCACCACCCTGGGACTCCTGTGTTCTAATTAAAGAACACATATATTTATTACCTTAAAATTTTTTGTGTTAACCTAGACTGTTTAGTCAATTCTCAACCAAGGATTTAACGAATGCTACTGGTTGCCATGAGTCAGAATCGACTCAGTGGCAACTAACAACAACTCTTTGCCCAGAATCCTAAACCACTGTGCTAAGCAAGGCATACTGCAGAGATTCATTGAAAAAAATAAATAAATAATCTGAGAAGTTTTAAGTTAAAATAGTAATCTTGCTGCTAAAGTTCATTCTTTTAAAAAAAATAGCTTCACTTTCATAAGGTCCCTAGATGGCACAAATAGTTTTCTCTCAACTACTAACCTAAAGATTGGTCGGTGGTTTGAACCCACCCAGTGGTGCCATGGCAGAAAGACCTGTCGATCTGCTTCCATAAAGATTACAGCCAAGAAAACCCTATGAAGCAATTCTTCCCTGTGACACAGGGGATCATCATGAGTTGGAAATGACTCAGTGGCAATGGGTTTGGTTTTCTGGTTTCCCTTTTATAGTCTTTGTCCCCATTCTACTGGGATTAATCTAATATCCATAGAACACAGCGTGCCACAGAAAGCACAGCAGTTGAGAGAGGCCTTCAGAGGTAACAATTTGAAAATGATTTTCTCTAAAAAAGAAGAAAGCATTGACGGGCTATTTTCCACATATAGGCATGTATAACATATATGACTCGTATAACACGAATAACGTCTTGTGGAAATAATTCTGCAAAGTTACATACCAGTTTGAGTCAGGGTTTTCGTGCTCTGACAGCAGAGCAATCATGCTCGCACTACCACTGGCTTCTTCAGAATGAGCTCTAAAAACCCTTGCACCCCTTCTTGTCTTTGGCCTTCCACTCATTTTTCTCCACTGAGTAACAGGTAGCTGGTAGAGAGAAGACTATCATTCATGTTCTCTTTTTTTATTTTAGGGAAAACATGCAGTTGTACATAATGAATTCGTTTTTGTATTTTTTACTTCGCGAGAGCTTCTCCTTCACGGGGCAGACTCTGAGTAAAGCAAATCTTGAAAGGCCTCTGACTCCTCTGTTGCATCACTCTCCTGTGACACATCATAATGGCAGTATCGGCCTCTATGCCCTGCAGAGGTGGTGTACACACATCCACCTGCCCAACTGACAGCACATCCTCCTCAGTATGTGTTTAAAATGTTTAATTGTAACATATTTAAAACATACTAAGTAAGTACCCACTACTCTGATATACTACCACTCGTCTGTCAGTTTGTTGGGCTGTGGTGGCTTGTGTGTTGTTGTGATGCTGGAAGCTATGCCACTGGCATTTCAAATATCAGTATGGTCACCTGTAATGAATAGGTTTTAGCAGAGCTTCTGGGTGGCACAGTGGTTAAGAGCTTGGCTGCTGACCAAAATGCCGGCAGTTCAAATCCGCCAGCTGCACCTTGGAAACTATGGGGCAATTCTACTATGTCCTATAGGGTCACTATGAGTCAGAATTGACTCAATGGCCACGAGTTTGGTTTTTTTTTTTTTTTTTTTTTGGTTTAGGGAGAAAGGCCTGGTGACCTACTTCCAAATATCAGCCAACGAAAATGCTTTGGCTCTCTCGCGAAATGAGTTCCTTTACGTGGCCTTTTGCCTTGCTTTTTGTAAAAACAGCTTGAGAGATTTTTCTTCTAAGCCCTGAGGAGTTACCTTTGCCCTAGTTGTCCACCCTAGAGGCTTTGTTACTTTTGTCCAGGTTAGTTTCCTGGGTAAGCTGTAAACAATTTACGGTTTGATACTTTTTGTCTGGTCCTAGGCTGCCGCTGGCCCTGTGGTTGGTATGCACTTTGCAGGAACTGGTCAACAGACTACGCAAATGAAGTGTCTATGGCCTACCTAGAGGGAATTGATCAGTTTGTGGCCTCTGCTGGGAGGGAGGCCATGCCTTGAAATTGACAAGGAGTCATGTTATACATGCAGCCAGCCCTGCAGATATTTTCCATACAGAAATAAGCAGGAAAAGAGGCAGCAGGAAGAAGCAGAAGGAAGAAAGAAGAGAGAAGCAGATAGAGAGGGGGCAAAGAGTTTCCTAACAGAGCTGTAACATGGGTCAAGGGCTGTAACTCTGAGGACAGCGAGGGGCTCAGAAGGGCCCTAGTGGCAGAGCCAGAGGCTTCAGGCCAGGAAGGGGCCCTGTGGCAGAGTCGGTGGTGACAGACGGCAGGGCTAAGAGGAGCCTGTCCTCAGGGGGTCAAGAGGAGCGCGTCCTCCGATGGCCGAGAGGAGTCTGTCCTCAGGGGGCTGAGAGGAGTCTTGCCCAGCTGAGAGAAGCTGAGAGAGCTGTCCTGCAGAAGGGAGACTTTGCCTACACGCTTCCTGATCCTGATGCTTAGTCATAGCCTGTTGATCCTGATCCCGCATTGTACCTGTTAACTTCCTTGATAAACCACTTAACTGCAAGTACGCTCTGTCAGTTCTGTGTGCCCATTGTAACAAATTATCAAAGAGAAGTAGAGAGTGCCGTGGGAGGGACAGCTGGTGTCAGAATTGGTAAAAAAGTTGTCTGACCCCTACTTCATGCGAATCAGCTTGGGCTGATCCTTGTCATTATCCCCACTGAAATTAGACAGGTTCTGATGCTACTACTGCCACTACTGTTTTACAGGATCACAATAGAATATTGTCTTATATAGGGCTGGAAGATGAGCCCCCTAGGTTGAAAGGCACGCAGAATACACAGTGGGCACAGCAATGGATATGAGGATACCATTGATGGTAAGTGTGACAAAGAACTGGGCAACATTTCGTTCTGTTGTACATAGGGTAGACATGATGTCTTAGTCATCTAGCGCTGCTCCAAATAGAAATACCACAAGTGGATGGTTTTAACAAAGAGGAGTTTATTTCCTCACAGTAAAGTAGGCTAAAAGTCCAAATTCAGGGTGTCAACTCCAGGGGAAGGTTTTCTCTCTCTGTTGGCTCTGGAGGAAGGTCCTTGTCATCAACAATCTTCCCCCGACTAGGAGCATCTTTGCGCAGGAACCTTGGGTCCAAAGGTTGCGCTCTGCTCCCGGTGCTTCTTTCTTGGTGGTATGAGGCCCTCAGCTCTCTGCTTGCTTCCCTTTCCTTTTATCTCTTTAGAGATAAAAGGTGGTGCAGGCCACACCCCAGGGAAACTCCCTTTGCATTGGATCAGGGATGTGAGCGGGTAAAGGTGGTGTTACAATCCCACCCTAATCCTCTTTAACATAAAACTACATTCACAAAATGGAGGCCAACCACACAATTCTGGGAATCATGACCCAGCCAAATTGATACACACAGTTTTTTGGGGGACATAATTCAAACCATGACACATGGGGAGTCAGACCCAACTTGACAACAACTAAAAACGACAATTCTGCAACAGCAAATTTGAATGTTCTGCTGTGTTTCCCTAGGTTTTTTTTTTTTTGTTCTTGTTGTTAATATCACAAAGTTAACAATACATATATTACGAAGACAATTGCAGGCCCCCAAATCTCAATTTTTTATCACCTGGCTAATCTCAGTCTCACTCCACCCTTTTATTTTCCACATGTAACGACAATCTGCAAATTGATCAGAGGCGTAGTGGGGGGCAAAGGGGGCACTTGCCCCAGGGCACAAGCCCAAAGGGGTGCCATATGAGGTGCAGAATGACATTCTAAGGCACCACAAATATAAATGGTGCCTGACTGAGGCAGCCGGAAAAGATGGGGGAAGGCGTTTCTGCTGATGTGTCGCTGCTATTAACACATCTATTCATTTTAAAATTGGGGGTGGCGGGGGTGGGGAGGCTGCAAAACTTAGAGATTGCCCCTGGGCCCTCAAATTGGAGGGGGCATAACTTAGAAATTGTCCCTGGGTGCTCGTTACCCTCGCTAAGCCCCTGAAATTGATACACATCATTCCCATGTAATATTTTATTATTTGTTACTACATAAATGTGTATCCAGAAATAATACTGTTTTCATGCTTCAAACTTGAAATAAGTGATTTTTTGTACAGCATTATCCTGAGACATATTAACTCCAACGCATTCATTTTAACCACTAAATAGTATTCTGTCATATATATACATCAGGAGACCTTATGGCACAGCGGTTAAGAGCTAAAGCTGCTAACCAAAAGGTCGGAGGTTCGACTCCACCAGTCAGTCCTTGGAAACCCTGTGGGGCAGTTCTACTCTATCCTATAGGGTCACTATGAGTCAGAATTGGCTCAATGGTAATGGATTTTTTTTGTTTTATATATACATCCTGATTTATTTATCCATCTTTTATAGATGCATACTAGGTTCTTTTTAGTTTTTCAGTGATAAAAATAATCAATGTATCTTTTTGGATATGTTTCTGTGCACATAGCAAGGGTTTCTCTAGAAACCTAGAAATGAAATTGCTGGGTGGAATGATGAAGTAGTTTATTTAAGTATAAAATTCTAGGAGGATACTTATTTTTCTCACAGTATTTTGGAGATACCACTCTGTTGTCTTTAGAAATTGATTTTTATTGATAAGAATTCTCATATTCATTCCTTTTTTCTTTTGGGGGGAGCAACTTCATTTCCCTCTGGTACTTTTAAATGTTTGTTTATCCTTGATATCCTTGATATTTTTCACTTCTTTGTACCTAGGTGTGATTTTAGGTTTTCTTTTTCCTACTTTATAATCAGAGGGCCTGTCAATTTGAATACATTATATTTCTCCAATTCTGAAATATTTTTCAGCCATCAGTTCTTCAAATACTGCTTCTCTGTCATGGCCTCTATTTTCTTATAATGGCCGACTTATTCACATTGTGTATTCTTTTAAATTTATTTACCATGTATGTAAACTGCTTCCTCATATTTGTTTTCTTTTTCTCTTGTTTATGCTATTTTGAGGGTAAATTAATAAATTGTATCATCTGATTTGCTAATTTTCTCTTGACTCTATAAAGTCTAGATCTACCACAAGAAATTCCAAAACTTCTGCGTTTTACCTAATGGCCCAAGATTCAAATATATAAGACAGTACATTACAAAGTGTTTTCTTCCTATCTCGCTTCTGCCTTTTAGCTGGCTCCTCTCGCTCCTAGCATCAATCCTACCAAAAATCTTCTATTTTCTTTCAAAGGTGTTATATTCCTGGACAAGAAACACATGCACAAACATACACACATGTATGTATTTATCTCTTCACATATTTAAAACTAAATGACAGCATACTAACATATAGTATGCTTTTTCACATAAAAATTTATCTTGGAAATCTTTCCAATTCAGTACAATATGATCTTCCTCATTTTCATGTCAATATAGCATTAAATTGTATGAATGTGTCATAATCTGTTTAACCTATCTCACATTAATGGGCATTTGGATATTGAAGACAATATGAAATAAACAGGCATGCTCTTAAGTTATTCTGTACATGTGTAAGTTTGTCTGTAAGGATATATATCCAGAGAAGGAATAGCTTAGTCAAAATCTAAGTGTATTTGTAATTTTGTTAAATATTGCCTTTGTCTTCTGTAGAAAGTCTACCAATTTAAGTTTCCCCTAGGAATATATGAGAACCTATTTCATTGCCTATTCACCAACTGGGGGGTTTACATTAACTTTACCCAAATATTTTTGTCTTTGCCCTTGGTTCCGGAGACATAATCTCTAAAAGGAAAAAAAAAAAAAAAAACCTTGGAATTTAAGTGTTTTCAATAAGGAACCAGACCACACCTAACTAACAGGTTAAGTGTGGTGATGAGGTGAGTCTGGAGTGGCAGCTGGCCAGGTCAGAAAGACCTACCATGTAACACCTCAGGGAAGAAGGGCTGTAGTTTACGTTAAAAAATGAGATCCCAATAAAAACTCTGAACACGGAAGCTCCATGGGCTTCCT